ACACGAATTAAAGTACTGCAATTTATCCTATAGTTCATCTTCAACTTGAGTGTTAAAATGTGCCAGTGTATGAAAATTGTATAGAGTGTAATTACCCAATCTATATAATCCTCTTTGTATATATGCTTCTGATAGCATATGTAGAAGAGCAAAAAGACTGGACAAAATCTTGTGTTGTTATAATTCAGATTAATTCTGAAAACCATAAGGAAATTCAAAAGATCTATTCAGTGGGATGTCATTACAATGTCTTCTCACCAACCTTTCAACTGTACTTCTTTTCTTCTACATTTCCTCCAGTTTTCTGCCATTTCTTACCTACATTAGCCCTGAAGCATGCCTTTGCAGCTCTGTAGGATTACCTGTCTAATGAAACTGTACATGAATACAGAAAATTCTGCAATATTTATAACTCCCAACTTCTTCATTTGGCTTTATTAACTTAGCCTGTCATCTCTCTTGTGAAGACTTAGTCAAGGACCTAGTGGAGAACTTTTATGCATGGCAGGTTTGTATCTCTGTATAAAATGGCTTGTAGGAATATTTATTTACCTCATGCCTATATCTTTCCCACTGAAAGTTGTCTTCAATTTAGTTCTTTGATTTGTAGATAATCTATATTTTCTGGCTTGTCTTCCTCTCACTATGCAGATTAACAACACAGTCTGTTGAACAGATGACTTGCAGATCTCTGTTAGCAAAAAATGTGTGTAAAAAGAGTAAGTTTTTTCCATTCCTATCGCATGGAGTACAGGTCAAATCAATTTGCTACTTTAATTAGTCAGAAATCATTTCTACTTTTAAATATTATAGGGCTAATATATTTTTCTCAATACTAAGATGCGCAAGACAAAGCAGTGATCTAACCCCTAAGTATTTTGAGGGAATGATGCTGCTCAGTGCTCTGCTCTGTGAAATAACATTTCTCTGAGTAGTTGCTGCCTTTTCCATTTTGTAAGCTGTCATTCAGTCTCCTACAATGTCTCAAGAATGGATAAAAGTTGTAGTTTTATTCTTGCCTATTTATCTGCTGAGGTATGAGATTCTCAGAAAAAGCGTGACCGTCTCTTGGCCGTGATGCATATGATAGTGCCTTATCTTGAACCTTTCACCACACAAAAGATTAGAGAAAGACTGAGTGTACTGGTGCTTCCAGTAACTCCTGTCATCTAGCAATAGTGTTCCCTGAGAACATAATACTGTTCATTTTTTCTGTCTTGCCACTTCTTCCCTTCTCTTTAAACATGCCTTTTCATCCATGAATTTCAAGTTTTAGCAGATTATGGGAGGGAAGGTATCTTCTCAAACATTGACTATGTTCCTCAGAAATTCCTTACATATTGGGCTACTTTCATGATATGTTAGACCCCTGCTTAACTGATAGATACCAGTGTTGCATCTCTAAATTTAGTCTTTTATTTATAGCCTTGACAGCATGCGTACAGGGTAGATTTTAATGCTGGCTTTAAGCTATCATCTTTGTTAATCCTCTTTATCTCAGGCTTCCCCAGGGATTTATAGGAGTCTATTTAATTTGCTCAGCCTTCCCAGTTTTCTGCAAAGGCATGCATAGAGCTTGTTAGACTTACTGCAGCAAATACACCTTCACAAGAAACCACTTCAGTTTTTCTCAGACATTGTACCCTGGTATCCAGATTGCCCACCAGATGTCCTGAGATGTGTGCTGGGACAGGACCTCTTAGCTACCACTCAGGATTTTGACACCAGAAAATCCTGGATTGATCTACATCACAGCGTGAAATTTGAAAGCACCAGTGGCAAAGCATGCACAGCTACACTTATAAAGGTCATTTAATTTTATGAGCAAAATAACTGGGCTACATTGTAATGCACACTGGAGTAAGGTCACTGGATTGAAGTATTAGAGCACTACACTACAGAACATCTGCAATGAGAGGCTGCAGAAGTGTAGGTGTCCTGATGTAAACAAACATAAAAATACTGAGCCCCTAGAAAAAAGATAATAAAGTTAAAGAGATTTTAATCTAGCCTGATCTCTGACACATATTTTCTCTTATTTTTTGAGCTAATTCTTGTTTCAATCAAGACATGTCTTTTAGAACCCATTCAGTTTTGATTTACAGATTTGTCATGATCCTTCCCAATCTCCTCTGCAGCTAAACTGTTAAAATGGTCCTGCACATGCTCTGTCAAAAGTACAAATAATCTTATGTCATTGTTGGATTTTCTTACATGTATGTATTCTACACTGAAGAGCCTTTTATTGTCACATATATAATATTCTAATATCTACTGCTTCCATTTTTTAAACAAAAGCATAGAAGTAGTCTTATCTTCTTTGATACTCTGAGTATATCAGGACTTTAAAATCAGTATTGAAAGTCCCACCCAAAGGCTATTCAGATTTTTTGAGATCTATTTGTTAAAAGTTATTAAGAGCTGCTGATTAAAAATATATGACATTACTGCCTCCTATTTAATATCCTGCTGAGTTACTGTTAAAATTGAAAATATTTTATCACAGTCATGTTCTGACATCAATACTTGATCTTTCTCCAAGTACAGAACTATGCTGAGCACTGTTCATTAAAAAAGATATACTTAGACTTACATAGAAATTACACGGTTGAATGCCACTGGATTTTTATGCAATGTTATCGATAACTCCACTATTGCTACATTAATAGTGGACTTGTTAAACATTTCTTTTATTCTTGAAATGAAAAGTGAAAGAATACTTTTTATTACTCGTCACTGCACTGACTTAATGATTTTGTCTTTTGTTTCCTTCCATTTTACCAATTCCCAGCTTCTAGTTTGCTATAAAATCCTTGCTTCCCCACGTCTTGTTTTTTCTTATTATCCTTGCTGTAGTTACTTTCACATTTACTTCTAGCTGAACTGAATGTTTTTACACGTGTAATCTTCTTTTTCAGTTAATATTCTAGCAGAATATTATTAAATTTATCTGCATTTCTTCCATTAAATTATTTCTGAAGAGGTTTTGACTCCTAATTATTTCAGGTCTGTGATACTGGACTTACAAAGCAGCAATGCATGTATGTGTGTGTAAATGGATCATTCCTTTGTCATATAAATTACAGACAAAATATAATAATTTGCCTCATTTTAGTTTTGTGATCAATTTATCGGTCAGGATGTGAATTAAACTGTCATTGTGCCACACAGTTATCACCTGTGCCTCTGAGATTCTCCCTTTGCTCTCCTTTAGTGTAAATTTCCACCTATGATAGTGTCTTACTCTGGAGTTGCAGAACTCGCAATGATGGGGGGTGTTATATTGTTTGGGGTTGCTTTGAGCCTGTAGCTCCTTTGATGATCCCAGTCATGTACAATGCTTCTGCTGTGAATGATAACATGACAGTGCATCAATCCTTGTATGGGATTTTTTTCAGCTGCCTTAATTTTCTTTCCCAGCCTGCTCTCTTTCAGTTTTCTCCAGCAGGAGCTTAGTCGTGCTTCTGTGCTACTTTTCTGCCATATGCTGCTGATTTTATCATAAAATAATGTCTCCTGTAGAAAAATACAATACTTGTCGTATCTCCACAGTTTCTTTACATGTACTGCGAATACTGTGATAAAATGGTGTCAAGCTGGCTTTCTTGATTTTCAATATGTTATGAAAAACACTAGCAAGCTTTTAAGGAACTCACCTTTTCCTAAGCTTCGTGCAGTTATGTGCAGGGCTTAAAGCCATTTTGATTTGTTTCCTGTCTGCTAGAAGTTTCTAGTGTGCACCTGAGGTAATAACTGTCTTACTTTGTCTCTTATTTACTTCTTCCATAAATAAAAAATAAATTCTAAGCAGCTGGAGACTCGTGTGTTTGTGCCAGTGGAAGACATGGGGGTTTCCTGCTCTAGTTACAAATTTCATGTCATTGTTTATTCAACACCTCCAAAATGTAGCATAGTGCAAATATTGCAGAATTCAATACAAATTCATGAACATTACTGGTATCTACAGTTTCATACTGACTCATGTTATTTCCAATAGAAGGAGATTAAAAAAAACCAACCCACAATTTTTTTTTTAATCATATTCAATGTTCAGAAACAAATGGGAATAGCTTGATGCCCTTCTTAATAAGACTAACCTGAAATATTTTCTTCTCTTAATTTAGGTCAAATAAGCTTTTTATTTTGTGCATATGACTCTCTACCCTTACTTAATTATTCTCTGGCTGTAGCTATTGTTAAGCCCCTACAATTTAGCCCAGTTCAGCACATATTTCCAGCTGCTTACAACACACTGGGGAATGTTGTTTCATATCACTTCACACTTACTAAAATACAAATTCTTCCAGAGTAAGGATATGCTATTGCCATAAATGAATAAATTTTAATCCTAAAATGTACAGATGAAAATTCAACCTAAGCAAGTCCGGGATGTTTTTACAAGGGCATGTGATGACAGGACAAGGGGTAACAGCTTCAGACTGAAAGAGGGGAGATTTAGATTAGATATTAGGAAAAAAATTCTTACCGCAGGGATGGTGAGGTGCTGGCACAGGTTGCCCAGAGAAATTGTGGCTGCCCCATCCCTGGCAGTGTTCAAGGCCAGGTTGGGTGTGGCTTTGAGCAACCTGGTCTAGTGGAAGGTGTGCCTGTCCATGGGTTTAGAACTAGATGATCTTTAATGTCCGTTTCAACCTAGAGCATTCTATGATTCTATGAAGAATATTGTCATAATATTTTTGTATGATGCTTCTTGTATCTGAATAAATTATTTGGTGAAGCAATTGCATATACTGTGGTAATGAGTAGTAATGAGTATACAACTACACAGAGTAGAAAAATAAGAAATGTTGACACATTTTTATTTCTAAAAATAATTTTTTCTAATATTTGTTATGATCTTTCTAATACTTGCAATAAAATATTTCCATGGGGCTTTTATATATTTCTAAGAAAATCATGACTGCCTCAAAACTCTTCTTTAAAATGTCATAGTGCTGAAAAAAAATTTACTTACTCACTTTCCCCCCCCCTTCTTGTAGATATTTTTAAATGCAGATACAATCCGCCTGGGAAATCTACCAGTGGGTTCCTCTTCCTCCTCCTCCTCACCCAGCTCTTCAGCTCCTCGCCAGACAATCTATGAGCTCTGCGTCTGTCCCAATGGTAAACTTTACCTGTCCCCAGCAGGAGCAAGCTCCACATGTCAATCCAGTAGCAACATCTGTTTGTGGAGCTAGAATGACTCCAATTTATCCTCACACCAGAATAGCCTTTTGTTACTATCCCTCTGCTTCACAGTTCTGCTCGGTTTCCCTTGTGACAAGTTCAACGCTTCAAACGGCCTGCAGAGCAGCTTCTTCCAGTGTAAGCAGGAATACAGCGCTGCCTTCTCTTGTGGTTTGTGTTGCCACTCAACTTAGAGATGGGAGTGAGATATTCAGAAATCAATGTATTCTTCATCAGGAAACCTGGAACATGATATCACCTTTTGTCCGAAAGGGAGAATAACACAGGTGCCTTTGCTACATGAAGTGAAGCACATAGTTTTAGATTTTTGCAGGACCTGGATATGAACTGCACATATATATACACAATACATAAACAAATTTGCCCAGAATCTAATGGTGAGATGAATTGGTTCCCCCTGTGTGATAAATAACTTTACTGTCTGAAAGCACAATTTTCCATTCATCTTTTTGGATGTAAACTTTTATCCCTGAATTTTAAAATTTTAAAGCATTGTGTGATGCTTGCTTTACTAAACAATTAAATTCAGTAAATGGTTTTTAACACAAAGAGAGACAGAATCCCTCCCTGAGTTTGCTTTCTTTAAAAGTGTGTTGTTATTCTTTGTCTACTAAGTCTAGGGTTTTGTACACTAGGTAAATCTGGGAAGTGTTCAGCAATATTACCTTTCAAAGCTAAAAAGACATCTGCTCTTTTTTGTCAGATCTGAATGGCCTTATATAGTGTTTGTGTTGGCTACTACATGTGAAGTGATTGCTTTAAGTAGAACATACAGTTTCTGGAAAGGAACAACAGGGTAAAGACAGAAATACTGATGGTATGTTTATTGAACAGTGTATTGCTCTTCACAAGGTATTTATAATTGGCAAATGCAAAACCAAGAGAAAAATCTTCAAAGGAATATCTTGTCCATTTTCTAGTTATGCCTAACTGCTGCCATTTGAACACAGTACAGACATTAGTACTAACGTAATATGTAATGCTGAGAAGCAAAGCACTAACAAGTGGAATGACATTCCCATTTATTATTCTCTTTTTTTTACCATCTGCTGCTAAGGTTTTCAAAGTAATACTAATATATATAGAAACACACGTTAAATAACATTCAATATTAAAAAGTACATTGACTTTATCAGGTCTGTGTTTAAATTATGCAGCCCCACTTGCACTCAAATCTCGCTGCTGGCTTTCTTCTTTGGCAAATTTGATGTGGGATTTCTTTCTCGTATCAATGTTCATACTTGTTTGGCTTGGTTGGTAACTGAAATTTTATAAAAAATGCTTTGGTGTGCTGCTAGGAAATTTATCATAACATTGATTAACAAGAGTATCTTGAAACTTGCAGAACCCAGGAATGTAAAACAGTATAAAAATGTTTCCTATTGTGGAAGATGGCTTGATTACCTGAGGTAAGTGTGCTTTTTAATTCTGTCCTTTAAATTACATCACCTAGCATGAAACTTTAGAGGCCTCAGATTGTAAGACCACCAATGTAATGATGGCTTTTGCAAGGTAACTCTGAAGTCAGGGCAGACAGCGCAAGGTGGGTATTTCTACACAGGTGTTTGGTGGTTTTTTTTGTCTTAGAGAAAAACATGAAAATGAGTAAACAAATACTGTGATTACCTTTACATTTCATTACCACCTAATAAGGTTAATTTTGTTTTCACTTCAGGTGAAATTCACTCCTATGCAGAGGTCCAGCACAAGATGTGTCCACGGCTTGACTGGTGCTTCCCTTTCCATTGGCCCCTTCAGAGGTGTGAATTTCACCCCATAACAAGAATACTACATTTGTGGTTTATACCAGTTAAAAGATGTTAAATTTGTTATTTTCTCTCTTCAAAAGAAGGCTGTTAACAGCTGATTTGTTATTTCTTTGAGAATTTTATTCTTTCACTTGGAAAGAAAATATATTAGAAAACATATTAAAAGCCTGAAGATTTTTAGTAGGAGGGACAGAAAGAGATACATGGGACAAAGAAGTTGATAATAAAACGTTAGAAAGTGTAGCTGTACAATACACCCTTAAAACTGTAGGGA